CACTGCACGCTGTGCTGAAGTGACGTCTTAGGTACGGATAAATGATGGTTTTCTTGGGATTGCCAGTGGTTGGTAGAAGACAACAAAAAGTGCACAAATTAATTTGTGACTAAGCGTGAGAAGACAGGTGTCGAATGGCGTTTCAAAGAATGCCTTTTTCTTTCAGAGTCGAAATAAGGCATTCTTGGGGGGCAATTTGTTGGCTCCTAAATTCGACACCCTTGTTTTATTAATGTCAGCCATTAAAGCTGGAAGATGTTTTCGACTAGCTAGGCCCGTCGAAATGCCCATCGAAAGATGGCAAAGTACTTAGAAGATTTCTTCCAAGGGAGAAGTTGGTTGCCTTCGACGTCGAAGGATTTTCTCGTCGAAGATGTCTCTCGACGAAGGTGTTCGACGGTTCAGAGTGGAGCAGTTTGAAATTCAAGTGTTTGGAGGGAAAACGGTTTCCAGCGGTTACCAGGTGCAACGTGCAAAGATCTGGAGCGTCAAACATTGAGAACGTGCCAAGTGGAATCATCTCGAAGCAGTGTAACTGCCCGACGGTTACTTGGGATGTTTTTAGTATAAATAGTAGTAGTCATGTAGTTTCTCGCGTGTGTTCACAATTCTATACAAAGTCACTCATATAGATTCGAGTACCCAGCGTGTGAGAAAGAATTGTTGAGAAATGTATGTGTGAAACACCAACTTTATTAATCAAAGTCATTTACTTTTCCAGAAATTTACTTGCTTTCTTCTTTATTTTCCTGTCGAACCCTTTTCATTTAAAGCCTTATTTATTTTACCAAGTCCTTTCTTCATGCAATTTACTTAAAGCCCCTTTATTTTATTGTCACTTAACCCATAGCCAATTTAATCAAAACTTCAAAATCAACCTATGTCCTAGGATCAATCTGATCGATCCTGCGAGTAACCAAATAAGTAACCATTTGGAGGATCAGCGGTTGTTTACCAAATACCAAGGTAAACAGGAGGGTGCTGCTGCACTGCTGTTGCTGTCTTGTTTTTCTGCAACTGGTGTAGCATGCTTAGTGCGCTCTGTGCCGCTTAGTGCGTCCTACTGTGCAAAGCCAGTGAATTATTTTTAATTTTTTGCTTGGCTTTCCATTTTCCCACTTCCACTTAGACTTTAAATAGTAAATAACATTAGTATAATTAAGGCAAAATACTCATTTTGGTCCCTTAACTATACCCTTGGGTTCATATTGGTCCCTTAATTTTTTTTGTGTCATTTTGGTCCCTTAACTTTCAAAAAGTTTCATTTTAGTCCTTTTTGTCTAAATTCGTAGCTAATTAGACGGCAAAACTTTAAAATCAGCCGCTAAATTCGTAGCTGATTAGACAAAAAGGACTAAAATGAAATATTTAGAAAGTTAAGGGACCAAAATGACACGAAAAAAAGTTAAGGGACCAATGTGAACCCAAGGGTATAGTTAAGGGACCAAAATGAGTATTTTGCCTATAATTAATTATTTTGTTGTTGTTTGGACTCAAAATTTGGTTAGATAGCTTGAAGTCGCATTTGGTTATTTTCCAATTTTGAGTGTGTCAGCTTGCGAATGCATGGTAATAATTGTGTTAAAGGTTTGTACACGTTCGAGGTATGTGTTTATCGTTTTCTATACTTTAGCATATTCATGATACTTAGACTTTCTACAATTTTTATGCCATTCATTATTTTGTATACTTGTTCATTTATGAATCACTTTAGTTCCTACCCTTTTTGTGAGGTAGCTTTCCATTGTTCACATATGCTGGAGACCACAACTCTTATTTTAACTGGATTTTGTTATGCTTAATCTTTTGTTTGTGTTGGTTGTATTAAAGCATGAAAATTATCAAGGCATTTTTTTGTTACATTTTGAGCACAACTACCCCTAGCCAAATATTCAATTCACCTTGTGAGTTTGTGATCATTAGTATCCCCTTTTTAGCTTTTTATCGATGTCCATGTTGTTTTTGCTTAATGCTTGTTTAAGAGTGTTGAGTTCATCTTTTTGTATGGATGTTGATTCTTTTATTTTCTTGAATCCTCATCTATGATTTTTAGTTGAATTTTTACCTTGCCTTAGAAAGTAGGGGTATCCACTTTAATGTACGGTTGCATTCAAGTTGGAGAAAGAAATGTTTATGTGCTTATGTTATGATTGCTATGAGGTTGTGATAGAAAAGAAAAAGAAAAAAAATGTGAGAAAAGAAAAGAAAAAGAGAGAAAAAAATCTTTGAAAAATAAAAACCAAAATAGTTCGAATAATTTTGCTAATAAGTGATGTGTGTTGGTTTGAAATTTGGAATGAAGAAGAAGTTTGATTGAAATTATTTTGCTTGAGACATTGTGAGTTGATCACTCCCTTAGGTTTAGGCAAGTTTTTGTTGCGATTAGCTTTAAAATTTATCCCTTGTTTGTTATCCAAGCCACATTACAATCTTGAAAATCCCTTGAGATTCTTGCCTTTGTATTTTCAATACAAGTTTTTGGATGAATGCATAATTTAGTCTTTTATTTGCAAGATTGTGGATTAGTGAAAATACCTTATTTTGTGTGTTTTTCATCTACCGGTGATTGATTTTGCTAGGTGTGATTCATTTGTGAACTAGTGTTATTTTAGAATGTTTGGCATGTTCTTTGTATTTAACATTTGTTTCGTGTTTATGTTATCGTCGTAGTTTAGTGGTAAGTATGTTTCTTCATGTGTACCGTTTTTCGTTTGAACCATTGCATTTGTTTTCCATTTTCAAAACTTGTTGATTCATGATATTTTGGTTGATTACTTTTGGTTCTTTGAGTTGTTTGGCCTCGTTTGAGTACAAACAAGTTCGAGTTGGGAAGAGTTTAATAAGTGCAAATTGTAGTTATTTTTTATATACTTTTTGTTGCACTTATCAACTTTTTGTTATAAATATCGTTGAATAAACCATACTTTTATATAAATACGTTTAGTTTGTGTTTATTTGTGTTTTTGTATATAAAGTGTACCATTTGATGTTTTTCCATTCATTTTATAGGTATTTGTTGCATTTTGGAGCATTGAGGAATAAGGTGTCGAAGGCACGACTCTGGATGCTCATTTTTAGAATAAAAGACCAGTTTTGGGACATTCTGTCCATGGGAGCCCGCTTAGCGCACGAAGGCCGCTAAGCGCGAGTGCGCTCAACCCATTTTGTAGTGTGCTGCTTGCGTTTTGACATTTTGACAGTGTTGCAGTAAAAATCAATGAAGTCGCCACCGAGTATTTATTTATCCCATATGAAAGGGAAAGTAAAATCATCGAAGAAAAAACCTAAAGGTTAAATCAAGGTCTTGCGACCGAGAGATTGGGTAAGGGAGTCGATTACACGAGGGGAAGGTATTAGCACCCTACACGTCCATAGTACTCTACGAGATCCACTCTTGTTATTCTAATCAAAGGGTGTGTTCAGTCTAATGCTAAAGGGTTATAAACTAAGAGGGAATGCATGCAAAGAAAAGAGAAAGAATGTAGGGAAAATAAATTTGTACTCGCTTGGGTCCTACCCCAATGCCCACGTATCCTTTTTGAGGAATCAGAGCTACCGTAGTTTGACTCATATATTTTGTTTGTTTGTATTTTTTAAATGAACAATGTTGCATTTGATCATTCCACCGCTGCTCGACCTTTGGAGACTTATGACCTGTAGTCGAAAGGAGCTAACATGCTCTTAGAAGAGAAAAGCCGAATAGCAGAAAGAAATGGATTGGTTGTTATTTTTTACCATGAAAAGAATTTTTGTATGCTTAGCGTTTTTTATACATTTGCCAAGAAAAATAAGTTTTAGTTTTAAGTGCAATGATGCAAAAAAGGGAAGAAAACATCTAAGGGAGACTAACCTATCTCGAACCTAATATTGTCATACAATGGGGAATCTTATCTAAGCTAGCATGCCAAAGAAAGTCTAACAAAACTATCCTATAGGGAACATGCACTGAGAGCGAAGTCGTGATCTCAATTTCTAAATTGAGTGACTCATCGATCAACAAGAAATAAAGGAAAGCGATAAAGTCCTATAGGGAGCATGCACTGAGAGCGAAGTCGTGATCTCAATTTCTAAATTGAGTGACTCATCGATCAAGAAGACAGTAAACAAACACAAGCACAACACATATAGTAAATGAAATGCGGAATGCCTGCTACAGGTCTTTAAACAGCGACTTCGAGTGCACGCTCTTTATTTCCTACTTCTCATGATATCTAAAAAACAGTAAAGTACTGAAATGAGATAAACAAGGGAAAATACCAAACGGATATCAATCAGTAGCAAATCCTATCAAAACAAAGAAACCCGATGATCTTCGTGAAGCTTCACCAATCAAAGAAAAGGAGTTAGAAATCAAATGCTCGGAACAAGTATCGACGCATCACCGACGTGAAAATAAATCACAATCGAAATCTCAAGCGCATCCACATATTGCACAATAAACCTGCATAAGACCCAAATCTCAACAAGCAAAGGTGAATTACCAATCTCAAATATAATCGGATAATCGGGATTTAATTCCTAAAAAAACAAATAAAAAAATCTAACAATTTTATTGATTTTATTATTTTTTATCATGTGAAGAAAGAGTTCAAACAAATCTAAACAAATCACAAAATTATTTTTTTTTAAATTACTAAAAGAATAAACTCAGGGGGTGCAAGCCAAAAACCCACGGGTGTAGGAGCAATTTGGGCGCTAGGCCCACCCAAATCAAGATCCAATCAACTTTTTTTGTTACAAGCAATCAGGTTCCAAAAATTCACGTTTGGCCTTAGAATAAATATAATCCGGCCCAGAACAAGACCAGTCCAGATTTTTTGTTAATTCTTTGGACTCCAAAAATGAACCGTGGGCTTAAGGGTTTGGTCCACTTACGAAAACATCATCAAATACACCAGCATTTATATCTTCTTTCTATTACTGGATAAAAATGAAAAGTAGAATAATAATTCAGACAAAGAGGTGAAATGGTGTGTAGCCAATTCTAGGGTTCCCAATTTATGCATATCTATTTTTTTTCACAAAAAGTGATGTGCTTCTTCTCATCTCATCCGTCGCGGCTCTTTCTTCTTCACCTTTCAGATCCAAATTCGCGGCGGCTCAACCCTTCGTTCTCTCTTCCATTTGCAAACAACAACAATCTACTCTACCTAACCTTCTTCACTCTTAGTCGCTCCCGTCCTTCGATTTACGAACGAGTAACAATAAGAACAACTTTTACCACCTCTGTCTCTTTTTGCTCGATATCTGATATGTAACCTTTGTCTCCTTCATCGTGTTCTGCCTCTCAATTGCGATGAAATTTTCCGCTTACGACTGCCAATCATAATAGCGCCTTGACTCTGTTTCAACTCGTTCTTACGGTACAAGTTGCGAAAGAACAATAAAAAAAGAAGAAGGAAACCTCTACTACTGAAAATAGCGTCAGAATGTATCCAACATGAGATTGCGAAACCTCACCAATCGGAGTCCTTATAATGTGGCTTCAAAGATAATGTTAATCAGAGAACAATTCTCGAATACTCTGGTACATTTTTTTAGTGCTATCACATTTCTTCTTGTTAGTTCTTCTTCCTTGATTCTTCTTCTGAAATTTTATTCGTTCGATTATCAAGGTATATGAATTCCTGAATCAATCTTCTTCCACTTTCTGAGTTTCGAATTATTGTTGGTGACAATGATGATATCGTTGTTGCTGTTTACAGATTATGAAGGTGATTGCAGAGAGAGAAGAACATTGAAGATGCAAGAGCCTGAAGGAATCACGAAGTGTGATGAAGATTCTGGAGAGTTGCAGAGAAGATGAAGGTTGGTGATGAATGATGGAGCGTGAATGCAGGAAGATGAAGCGGAGAGAAGGAAGAAATAGATTTTGGTGATTCTTCCAGAAATTGGAGAATGATGATGGTGATGAACAGTGAAGATTGTCGGGTAGTGATATTGTGCAGTTTCAGAAATTGCAAGAAGACGAATTGAGAAGTTTTTTGTGCTTTTTCTTGGTGAGTTTCCTTTTGAGATTTTTTGTGTTGAATAATTGTATCCCCCCTCATCTTTTTCTATTATCTGTTGAATATTGTTGAGGGTTGATGAAAACAGTTGATGGAGATTCACGAAGGTTATACAAACTGGTTGATAACTAAAGCTTCAAGGTTGATGCAGGGTGATGAAAAGAAGATGGTGAAGGTCGAGAATCAGGTTGAAGAATGATTGAAGAAGATGCAAAGAATTTCATAGAGAGGGAGGTTGGTGATTGAGGAATCGTGAAGAGAGTGATGAAGGATGTGCAGCAGAATTCTTCAGAGGATAATTCTAGAGGTGATTTCTTTCTCTGTGAGTTTTCTATGTGTTAGATAATTGTCCTCTTGAAAATGAATCCTCCCCTATAACTCTCTCAATCTTCTATTATATAGCTCTGCTAGAAGTTTATTAGAGGCGGTTATGAGGTTAGAAAGTTAGTTAGAATTTTGTTAGAGTTCTGTTGCAATTTCATTTTTTGTTATTTCTGTATTGACAGCTAAAAGGGAGGTTAGTTAGGATTCTATTGAGAATTTGGTTGTTGAATTAACTGTTTTATGATGTGGTTTTGCAGGATCAATTTTTAGTAGTCCTTCTCCGAAACGCTACAATTCACTCATCCTCCTCGTCGTAATCTTCATCATCCTCGTCCATTCATTGTGCAAGCTGCATTGTATCAATGGCCATCTTGTCCACCTCAGAAAGAGACCAGCCTGGAATTTCTTCATGATACTTGTTGTCAGTTGGAGTAGGTTCAGACAATGAAGGAACACTGGCTTCAGGAATCGCGGTTGTAGGATTAGCGGCATCAGAGTTAGAGGCTTGTAAAGACGTATCTTCAACAACTTCAGTATAGTTGTATAATAACAGTTTATGTTACAATCTTGAATTTGAAGCATGAACTCTAAGGTTCATTCTCTCTGTAATAACAACGGTCACCTGCTTTATAGATAATCACTAATACAGAAATGTAATTTATATTTCCCACATTATGTTTTCCTCTTTACAAACTTCAGGAATGTAACGGGTTGGTCTAAGACTCCAGAGTCAAAAATTTGATTATGACTCTCTTAAGATTGATTGAAAAATTGTGGCATCGATCATCTCAGAAGACTCCATTTGTATTTTTACAAAGTGTTTAGTTTTTTCATCCTTAAGAAATGCAAATAGTGTGTCCTTAACTTGTGCAACTGCTTCCTGTAAGATTAGAAGAATTTTCCAAGGTCTCCAAGGATATCGCCATTTTCTCCGCAAAGCCCAAGGTCCTTGAGCCTCCTTTCTTGATAATACTCTAACTGGTCCAATTCCTGTTCTTTCTGCTTGAAGATGTCGTCTATTTGCTGCAGGACCATATTTTCTCCTTCTCTTATTCCAACTGCTATTGCAAGCCTTGAATCTAGATTTTCTTTTTTTATCTCGCAATCCTGTTCAATGGTTGTATGATAACCAGCTAGGGCAAATTTGCAGGCATCTCGAACTGCTCTACATAGTAGCTCCTCATTGTCACAAATAACGAACAACTCAAGATGACCCCATATGGAGTCTCTAAACAGTGATTCCAATAAGAAAGTGTCGGTACCCCCAACGCTACTAGTCTCAAATACGGAAGCAATCCAGGTGAAAGAGTGCAATTATAGAAGATGTCAAAGTATGTTGTCTGAGCAAAACCATTAGACTCAGCAATGTCTAGTTTGTCATCAAAAAAGGGGTCTGACACAGATATCTCTAGTGTTAGAGTGTATGCGTTTCGATTTTCATTTGGTTCAATGAAACCGTAGTCTAGAACTGTGGTTAATCAAGTCTACCATTGGAACTATAACTAGATTTTCATTACGAAGACGAGAAAATGCCTTTAATCTGAGAATTCCAAATGCCCAAAAGAAGTCATCCAGCGTCACAGGAGTCGGAAAAAGCCGCTTATTAGGGAGAATGGTTTCTTGTTCTAGTTTCAGACATTCATTCTTCATATATTCTTTCACAAAAACGGTTGTTTTCAAAAGTTGACTACCTTGAAGTTCTTGGAGCTCTTCCTCTGACCTTTCTCTTATAAGAAAGAGTATAACAGATAACCATGGCTTCAACTCACTGCACACTTTTCCAATCTCAGAAGCTGCAACTGCATCTGGATTTATCCACATCCTTTTTGGCACCTGCAAAATAACATCATTCCTAGAAATGTCTTTGACAGCAACCAATCCTAGACCTTCTGTGACCACACCAGATTTCACTGGGGTCTTGGCAGTGATGACACCTTCTTCCTATAGCCCCTTCCAGAAGGTTTAAAGTGTTGGAGACAGTGATGGTTCGGTTCCAAAAGAGGCTACTGATTTTGCAGAGAAGAATCTCTTGAGATGAAGAATTGGTGGACCTTTGGGTGTAAAAGATGTACCCTTGTTGGTGTGAAAAGGAAAGGGAGAAACTGAACCTCCAGAAAAGATAGTAGCCATTTTCTGGTTTCTAGTTCTTGGTTTTCTTTTGTGTTGTGTCATGTAGTAAGCCTTCGATCTTATAACCATGAGACCAATGCTATGAAATGTACAAAATATGATGAGGGATCTTAGGGGGAAAAGTTGGGGTACAATAGGCAGAACCAAGGTTTTGAAGCGCGCTTAGCGCGGATAGTGCGTTTAGCGCAGTTTAAGGCGGTTTAGAGTGTAAAATAATGAAGTCGCGCTTAGCGCGCCAGGCCCGCTTAACGCGGTCTACTAAGTTGAGTTTTATAAAAACAAATTAACTTCATTTTTAGGTTATGGTTTTGGGGAAGTTTTTGCTCCCAACTCCATCAACCTTCATTTTTTGTTAGAATAGCTTAGAAAACAACACTAGGGCTTTGCTTATGGATGATTAGAGGTGGATTTCTCACCGACCGATGCTAACAAACTGGAAGATTTGTGGTTTATCTCTTCTCCTCTCTTTGTATTTATCTTTTGTTGGGTATTGTATGTATATTTTCTTTGAACTCATGTGTATTTTTCGCCCTTTGTGTTATATAAAACTTGCTTTACAAATCTTTGTCGACTGTTATCCTGGATTTTTTCTCTGAGCTAGGGATTTGAGTTGCTATAGACATATACTGCTTAGATTCTTATCTAGAATGATCATATAATAATGTCTGAATTCTAGAGATATATTTTGTGTTGTTATTCACTTAGGGTGTCTATGATTAATTCCTCTGTGCTGTTTGTGTCGCTCTGAGAGACCGTCGACGCAATCGAGCACAGTTGACTTCTGTGTTGTTGAGTTGGTTGAGAGATCTCTACCGAGGTGATGCAGTCGGTCTCTCAATTTGGGTTAGAAATGACTTAGGTTGTGAGTGACATGTGATGACATTGATGAATATTGTAGGTTTAGTATAACAGGTCGATAGGTTTAAGTCTGTGAGAAGTAGTATATATGCATATTTGATAAGTTATTCCTTTTTCCTTTTTATACATTTAATTTTTGTTGATAATTTTACTTTCAACCTATTTATCCCCAAACTCATTAACGAGATATTTTTCGAACGGCGAATCAATAACCAATCTCTGTGGACACGATACGATATAACCTAAATATCACCTAATAAATTAATAACTTACTTTTTTCTTGCCACTTTACCGCTTCCAGCAGCATTCCTAAATGGACCCTTAGACGGATAAGTTTATGTTAAACAACCAGTTAGGTTTATGAACATGACAAAGAGAGAAAGGTGTACGGGTTGAATAAAGCCTTGTATGGATTGAAACAAGCTCCAAGAGCTTAAAATAAGAAGATTAATAGTTTCCTAAGGGAGAAAGAATTTGTGAAGTGCATAACTAAACATAAAGTATATGTAAGAAGAAGCAACGGTAAATTGCTTATACTATGTCTCTATGTCGATGACTTGTCAATAACAGGTAGCTGCAAGAAGGATATCGAAGACTTCAAGGCAAGGAATTCGAAATGTCGGATCTGGGTGACATTTCATACTTCCTTGGCATCAAATTCTACAAGAGTAGTAGAGGTTTTATGATGCATCAAAGAAAATATGCAGGAGAAATTCTCAAGAGATTTGAGATGGGAAAATGCAACTCGACTTTGACACCTGCAGAACTAAGACTGCAACTATGAAAGATTCAGAAGAAGATGATGTCGACCCAACCCAATACAAAATACTTATTGGGTCATTAAGATACCTTTGTCACACAAGGCCTAACTTAGCATACAATGTGGTATGGTAAGTAGATTCATCTAGAAGCCAAAGGTATCACACCTAGAAGCGACGAAGAGGATATTGAGGTATTTGAAAGGAACTCTCGACTATGGCATTTTATTTCCTGTAGCTGATAAAGGAAAAGAGTGCAAGTTAGTGGGATACACTAATTCGAGTTGGTATAGTGATGTTGAGGATCAAAAATCTACAGTAGGATATGTGTTTATGTTAGGTGGTGCACCAGTTGCTTAGAGTTTGAGAAAGGAATAAGTAGTGGCATTATCATCATGCAAAGCATAATACATAGTTGTTTCTCTTTGTGCATGTCAAGCAACATGGATGGTGAAATTGGTCGAAGAAATAATAGGGAAAAATCATGGAGAAATTACCATGAAGATCGACAACATGTCAACTATCAATCTGGTGAAAACCCCAATAGAACATGGTCGAAGAAAGCACACCGAAATGAAGTTCCATTATCTTCGAGAACAGGTAGCAGATAGGAAGATGAACTTGAAACACTACAGAACTGAGAATCATATTACGGACAGCATGACAAAGGGAGTGGAAGTTGAAGTATTCAAAAAACTAAGAGGTATGATGAATATAGATAGCTTAGACACAATGAATTAGGTGGTGTGTTGAAAGTGTAATTTCTTGTGTCGAAGCAGCTTGCTCAACAAAAATAAGGAAGTGTCGAAAAGATTGTATCGAAGTGTGGAAACAGTTTGTTACACACATATTTGATTTAGATCTAAAATAGATAGATTTTATTTAGGTCTAAAATAGATAGATTTGATTTAGTTCTAAAATAGGTATTTTGGGCTTTTTCTAGTTTTGAATTTTGCCTTAGGGAGCAAGCTAACCTAAAATTATAAATAGAGGGAGTAACCCCTATTTTTCTGCAATCAAGTTGTATTCACAAAATTTGCAGTTGCAAGTGAATAAGAAGTTTTTCACGGTTTGTGGGCAAAGAGAAACTCTGTAGAATATCATTGTCTTTCTTTCTTTTATATTTTTTTTCATTGTCATTGTGTGATGATAACAATCTTGTTCATCAAGATTAATAGAAATTCATCATAGGATTTGGTAGATTTTCAACACTTACATTATCATTGTTTTCATTATGTTAAGATTTTATTCAGCACTTTGCATCCAAGATGGACCATTAAGGCATCCATGTTCTGATTGGTTGGTGACGTTTTCACAAGGATCACTGATGTTTCATGTGTATTAATGAGTTAACAATATCTTGATCGTTGATACTATATAAATGGACAACAAATATTCATTACTTATTTTTAGGTCAAATTGGACAAAAGTTTCCTCCATCAGTTGCTAGCTCAACCGAGATAATATGTCATAAATAAAAAATAATAAAATAAATAACAAATACAATAAAATACAGTTGTTGGAATTCAGAAGAGAGTTGATCAATATTTTCTCCCTCACTTGCTAGCTCAACTGGGATAATAGATTATTAACAAAAATAAAATAAAAATAAAAGTTACTAAAATGTAGTTGTTGGAATTCAATTGTGTGTTCCATGAATACGTTTCTCATCAGTTGTCCAACCGAAATAATAAGTCATAAACAAAAATATAAATAAAAAAATATACTAAAATGCAGTTGTTGAAATTCGAAGACGAGTTCCCTAAATATTGTTCTTGTGTTGTCAGATCAACTGAGATAATATGTCATAAATTAAAATATAAAAAAAGAAATTAAAGTTGTTAAAAC